TAGTGCTCAAAGTTGCGTTACACAAAAACAATCAATCAATCGATCTTGAAGGAGTCATTAGATGGGCACAAATCAATTACAAAAGGTAATGAAAATAAAAGATAAAACCAGGATCCTAAAAATTACAATTATTTAAAATTCGATAGTTAAAAAAACAACATCAGATATGTAAAGACGTCATGCATTTGATGATTTTTCGAAGTATCTGAATAACTGTCAATACCAATTTGGTATTAGGTCTTTCTAACTTAACAAAAAGTAAGCAATCACGTTGACAAAATACGCTTGTTGTGTGTGTCTCATAATATCTTTTACATTAGTAACCATCTCCCAATTTACTGATGTCAAGTGTATAATATGTTGTTTGACTTTGAGGAAGCAGTACATTAAGGTTGTCATGATATTGAAATCATAAGGTGAACCATTCGTTGAACAAAATCTTGTTATCTCTGCGTTTTTTGTTTTTCTGTTTTTTTTTTGTTTTTTTTTTATGTTTTTTTATGTTTTTTGCCGTATAAGCTTTAATTGAAGTTTGTCTATTTAATTTCTAAACAAAATGTGTTATCGCTTTAATTTGGACGCAAGAAATTTGGGAAATGCTTCTTTTTGTAATGGTTTTAAAATTTCTGAAAATATATATATTTTTGGTACTGAATATGTTTTCTTACAAGAGGTTACAATGATCACAGAAGGACAGAGCAGTTTGACTCATATTTTATTTGAAAGAACTGCATTATTCCGACTATGAAATATATGCATAATATATAATTTTATATATATACAATTAAATTATAGTTATCATATTATAAACAGCTAGACGGATAAAAAATAACATTGTATGATTCATGAGACACGATTGATCAATACTGTTTCTTTTTCATGAAAACAAATGAAAATATGTGGTAATATACTCTCTAATTAACTTTTCGCTATATATATGATGTCCTATCATTTGATATTTCAATATTACTGCCATCGCTAACGGCATTGTTTGTTTTTTGTTGTTTGTCATTCTCATGTTTCTTCGTTTGTAACTGTTGGTCCTTGAATGTGACAGTTTCAAATACTGGAGTCTGCTGCCGGTTTACATGTCACGTTTTGTCATACAATCCATTTCAAATCTCAGCTTAGTTAATGTACAAGTTAATAACAATGTTTAATCATTTGGAACAATTATGATTGTTTGACTCAAAGCTATATCACCAGTTCCATATTTGGCACAATTTTCAAAATTCTTGTGATATAGCCTATTAACATTTTTAATTCGTGTTTCACTGATGACTCCTAAGTCTACAAAAGGCACCTTTGAAGCATTGAAATATTACCCCTGATTAAATCACCGCTGAGTAAATGTCATTATTGTTTATCGTTTTTTCACTAAAGGTTTCAAGAGGAGCCCGTTAATCGACAGTTCTACGCTTGTGAGTTTACTGTTTTATGTTTTATACATTGAAACAAGAAATCTTTTCAACCTGAAGGCATAAATCACATTTCCAGATTTTGACACAACTTATCACATTTTTTTTTTTCATTTTGCAATGATCTTCTGCATCCTTTTATTTGATTTTACCTTTCCACTATTTTGGTGTTAGTGCCACTGATGGTAAAAACTAGACGAAACGCGCCTGGATAGACAACATCAAAAATTCCCAAACATGCTAAACTTGAAATCACATGTGTCTGTCTTTGATTTCTCGAGTCAAATATTGTCTATCTGACTGTAAAAGCCTTTAAAGGTCTGGCGGGTACATGTTGCACGCACTCTAAGATGTTTATTGCTTAACATATATATACAGTGATGAACACATGCCATCTGATTTTTGATACTAGATTTGAATCTGGTGTTTTCATCTTTATCGCCATGCCAATAATAAATTATGAGTTGTTTTTGTATAGTTTATTGATATTATCAGGCTGTTGTTACTTTATATCTTTGTTCATATAAAATGTAGATATCAATTAGCCACAATGATACAGATGTCTAGGATACATGGAAACACTCCCAACAGTATACAACGTTTGACAGACGTGGAAAATTTAATAATCAGTCAAAAATGTACGTATGTTTGTTTTTATTTATTGTAAAATTTAAAAGCAAAAGACCCTTTCACTGAACATATCGTAGAAAGTTATAAAAAAACCATCTTTTCCACCTAGAGTTTACATGAACCTGTTTACCTTTCTATGACCTAAAACTGCAAGTCAGACTGATTGTTTCATCGGTAATTGATTAAAATTATTCAAACTATCATTATTGCTTTTATATAAAGTTCACAGTATCAAAAGTGTTGGTGGGTACCTGTAAATTATCAAAGAAGACACTTTTTCTAAACATCTTAAATCAACTTAATCCATAATCGTCATTTCTATTCTACTCAATATAACTATGTATATATCCCTAACATATCTACTGGGAAAGAAATATGTGTTGTTGAAATATTAAATGAATAAAGGCAACAGTAGTATACCGCTGTTCGAAACTCATAAATCGATAGAGATAAAAACAAATCCGGGTTACAAACTAAAACTGCGGGAAACGCATCAAATACAAGAGGAGAACAACGACACAGATACAGACATTATTCTGATAAAATATACGTTCTCTTGTTAAATTGTCATCGGCAAAGTCTCAAAGCGGTGAGTTCAGGGATTATTTCTTCGAAACTGTTTGAAGGTATGCCGATTCGCTATTTGATTATGTTGTTTATATACACAAGTATATTAATTTATGTACACTGTGTTCTGACTGTGTTGTGATTTAACCCTGCATAATACCAAATTATATCATACAAGATATATCATCTTTAGAATGTTGTAAACAAGATTTGTTATGTCCAGAATGGTTTGAAGCCATTAAAATGGTTATCGAAAGTGTCTAACTAGTTGATATACTAGCTAAAAACGTATGATGATAGAGTTTACTAATTTAATCATTGATTCATGTTAAAAAGAACAAATGAAGTGCAAAAAAATATATATTGTTATTACGTTCTTTTGCATTCCAGATAATTGACAAAAAGTGTTGCCTGCAGGTTTGTGATTAATTCTTTTAACACTTTTAGTGACGACAAAACAAACGTTAAACAATTCAGCCTTGAAAATATTCAACAACTTGATAAGATGTTTCCATCTTACTTATAAAAGATGATTTCTACAACAATACAGAATTAAACATTTTTGTCAAAAGGGCGGACATGTCCTGTTATCTACCCTGCTTACACATAATTAGTAGTGACGGTACAGCTGTGGTCCAAAGGGTAAAACTGTTAAGCCAAAGGTATAAGCCTAAAAGCTGTTCTCGTTCATTGCCCATATTATTAGCGGAGGAATCTTAAATTACAAATAAATATCAAATTATATGATACAAAAAGCGTTTACATTCGAAACATATTCTAATTTTGATTAATTAAAGATAACTACCTAATTTCCCGACAGGTGCTCTCAACAGAAATAGTTTTTTACTTAGCTTTGGTACCAATCTAGCAGGAAACTTATTAGTCCAAACTCATTTTGTATTCAATATTCGGAACTTTCAATTGATACATGCTTTCTTATTGAAATCCATAGTTGTTACTTTCCTCAATCATACAATTTGCAAAGATGAAGTTAAAAAATGGATGCTTTCAACTGGTAGTGTACAACATATTATTCTACAAAAAATGTATGCCTGGAACCAAAATTTTGGAAATTAACTTAGATATTAATCAACTGATCGTAGAAACTAGGCTTAAATTTGCTCACTAAATATTTAAAATATAAGAGAGAAACATTACCATTGACTGAAGTATATCTTACGTTGAGCAATTTTCTACTAATTTCTACAGAATGCTCTTATGTTATAATGTTGGATCACAGCCCAAGTTTTGGGAGGGTTGTGCACTTAGATGTATGTGTGACCTTGCCACATCTGATATTCCCTCTCTCGACTCAGAAGCCTGTCATTTAGTGGTTCTCGTTAGTTGCTGTCAACCATATTTGTTATTCTGTTAATTGTTTTGTCATATAAATGTGTTTGATTTTTCTATTTTTGTTATTTCATATTTTGTCGTGTCAGGCCTTTTCGTAGCTGGCTTCGCGGTATGATGTCTGCTCATTTTTGAGACCGTTACATAGATTAACTACCATCAGCGTATTTTAGGTTCTGGTAGAATGTTAACTTTTTGCAATAATACCTTATCTCTTTGTTTTTGAATCAAGTAAAGTTATAAAATTGATATCCCGAGTATTAAATCATAATACAAATAACTCGTTTAATGATAAAAATACTAAGCGCTTATCTCGGAATGAAGAATACTACTGCATCATATTTTGAAATTGTCGTATATAGTCATACAGACGTTCATATTCAAATTCGAATGTTTATGACCACAAAACACTCATCAAAATTACATGTGTTGGTATTTTGAAACACTGACGCGCGCTTCGTCTGCCGCAAGCTACATAAGTGACGCTTGAAACAAAAAGATTAAAAGCCAAATCAAATAAGAAGTGCGTTAAATTGATATAAGGTTAGAAAAAAATGTATATCTAGGTGTAGACAACTTTAAGTGTTTTGAATAATTCAAACGTTTATAAATAGTAAATTTTCAACAAATGACTAACCGGCTGGTAATACCCTTTGGAAAGGTACATCTACAACGTGATGAAATTCTGCGCCTCATTTTTCAGTCGTAACAAACCCTCTATCCAATCTCATATTTATCAGTAAAAAAATATGCTACGCTCGTGCATGTTTACTCAGAAGCAAAATATACGCACATTAACAGTGAAACAATATATAAGAGAGAACAGAAACAAGGTATATGGAACTACAATGTAAAATCTAAGAATGTTGACATCAACCAATTTTAAGATGTTGACATAAAAACATGAATCTGTTTTTCACAATTTTGGTTCTTTCGAAACAAATCTTTGCATACATCTTTCATAGTGACATTTTGCATAAAAAGAGTTTGATGAGCTCTGTTTACAATGTGAAAAAAAAAAAATAGAAGAAAATAATGCTCTTACTTTCAGAAGAATACAAGATCAATATAGGTGTTGATAACAAAATCACATTGACAAGCAGTAACGAAGGTATGTTCCCCTTTTATTTAAGCAAAACTTTAAAACCATGATTTATATGATTTATAAGTTTTCAGCTGTATTGTTAATTCAAATCTAAGCTTGATAAAGTAACTACCTGAGGCCGTCATGGAATGAAAATATATACATTTATTACCCAACATGTCAGTAGAATTTTCTTTTCCAGGTTACGTCCCGCCAACGATTGCTTTGTATGCAAAGTTTATTCTATAAGACTGTTCAGGGGGTCGTTGAATCTTCATATTTCTACATACTACATGTAACTTATCTGCAAGGTATAAAAGGATTTTTTTATACAAAATGTAACATTTCCTCGTTTCCCCGTAATTATCGACATCATTTTGTACATACATGTATGGTTGCAGTCATAATCTGTTCAGAAAGTCTGTTTGATTACTTGTTATTTTGACAGGTCAAAGTAAACCTGCGACAGAGTTTATGACTGCTTCAACAGGACCTAGGACCGGACTACCATCAAAATGACTAAAAAAGCAGACTGTCCTAGGACTCTCTTATGACTACTAAAGAATTTAGCTAAACACATGTCAGCTACTAAATAAACATTCGAAACCAGTCCTGCAATACGTATAAATCGACCTCATCAACTCCGATTGAACCAAACATATTCAAAAGTTAGCATTTGTTTGGTTTGCTCACTACTTAGTTATCTTGCGACCCTTCAATTTTAAATCCAAAGATATAATATGTTAACATGTCTCTGTTGCTTATTATAAAAAAACTGTTATCGGAAAACAAATATATCCGTAGTCTGCCTTTTCACAAAAGAAATCAGTTAAAAAATTAGACGTTCTATGTAGTTTTCAATCTATATCAATGTTTGCATGTCATATCAGAACTCAGATAGGTTTTTAAAACAAAAAACATGTGCTCGCAGTAACCAAAACTGCATGACTATATTTGCATTTTATCAACAAAATCTCAATCAGTTTATTCGTTAAATCATGATGGATTGTTTACTAAAAATGACAGCAAGATTGGCATATAATGACAACACAATTTTGTCTGCATCAATTTTGAGTGCCAACATTTTCTCTTTTTTGTTGAAATTACTGATACGTTACTTAAAACTCAGTTTACATACAAAAACTATGTGCCCGCAGCAATCAATACTGATTTGTATTTCATTGCAATACCTTAGGATGGATTGCAAAATACAAATCCAAGGAATATCGGTTCACAATGACTTTACACTTTTGTCCGGATCAATTTTAACTTCCAAAATATATTGACATAATACACTGTTATGGTGAATTCTTTGTTTTCTTCATTCATTATACGTGCTGTATAAAAATAGAAAGTTGACAATATGAGATCAAAATATTGTTAGAAGAAGCATTGATTTGAAACATTGTTGACATAATTAAATACTATAAATTCAGAAATGATTGCGAGGTTTTTGTTATTAATGCGAATAATGCGACTGGATGGGTATCGCAATAAATAAGAACTCGCATTCTGATAACTGAAACATAGATCTGTATTCAGTTTTTTTTCGAAATTGCGATAATTAAACTGGCATATTTGTCCATTCTTATGAAATCGCAATATTTTATAAATGCACGCAATAATTTCTGAATTTACAGTAATAAAGATGCAAATTTAACATTGTAGATTTCGGCTACAATAACAAATGCATGTACTATATTGTAAATTGTCAGTAAATAAGGTCCTAATTACTTGCGTCAGACAGGAGCGAAAGTCAAAATCGATTGTGTTTTTACTGGTGGTGAGCAACACAAGTGATCAGGAAAGATCAAAGATATGCTGTCTCCATACCTGGTCTGGAGCAGATATATTAAAAGGTCTGCAGCAGGCCTGACAAAGCATACATAGGTCTGGTCTACCATTGATGAAGTCAACTTGCTTATTTGCTTAATATATATTAAGTAAACTTGTTTTCTGCTTTTTGTTCGGGTTGTTGTCTCTTTAACAAATTCCCCGTTTCAATTCTTAATTTAACCTTCTTAAAATTTGCAACATACATTTCGAGTAAAACAATATTCGCAAACAAGCAGACAAGAGAAAAAATAATAAGAAAGCGTAATTGACATTCCATTATTACTCCCAGCATCGGTGGAACCGGTCGAAGTATCAACAATAGTGCTTACAGATTTATTACTAAATTATAATAATATTCAAGAATTGTATTCCGCGACAGAACATTTCATTCCTACGTAAGATCGTGGATATAGGTGCAAAACTTGTGAACTATGATAGACTTCTCAGGGCAATACCTTCAATATAATTGCAGTAATCCTAAGATTTTACATGAATGTATTTCTTAAATCTTACAGGTAATAATCAAAATCAAGCAGTCAACATTGTTGATGATAAGGGAAACTTTTTACTAGAATGTAATCGAGTGAAAGGAACATGTTTTAGAAGTATTTTGAATGTTTACAGCCAATCAGGATTTAAGCTTGGATATGTAAGGAAAAGGTAAGGTTACGATTTTTTGTAAAATGATCCTTAATATCACCTTGTGGAGAATCCTCCATTATGTACCTGTCATTCTACAATATCAAAGCTGTAATCGTATTGCAGTTTTTGCTTTATTTGACAACGATATTTCCGGTTTGAAACTGAATTGTTCACCATATGAACGTAAACTATATTATCTTATCCTGGTTTGATTGAATTCTGTAGCCATTATAGCCATTCCAGGTTGACGACTGTTGATAATAATTGAACAAATAACCACAGTAATATTCTTTGTAAATGTGCTGATATCATTCAATACAAAATATCACATTTTTGTCTGTTATGGTACAATATAGAATCATTAATATAACAAATACTTGCATGCCCAATTATTGACATCTCAAAATGTGACAAATAACTAGTTTTATCCCGTAGTCATAGTAGAGAAAAACACATTAATGTACGTAATGTACACTTAGCGTAAATATCTGACGTATCTCGTAATGTCAAGTATGCTAAACAAGAGATTATCAAACATGAACCATGTTATATTGCCAATTATTCACTAATACTTCGTCTAACACTATGACATGTGATCATCATGTTTAAGTTGAGTCGCTTATGTATCTATAATTTAGTACAGGGTGTTGTTTTGTATAACATGTTATACAGGTATATATTGTTCATTGCTCACTTATTTTTTTATTTTATTTTTTATTATTATATAAATAAAATGCATTTAAAGAGGTTTTTCGCTGAAATAGCTTTAACTTAAAGAAGGGATTCATTTGAAAGAGTAAACAATTGCATGCTTTTGAGAGACAAAAGTCAATAACTAATATAAATGTGTATTAACAATATTATTTATCTTTATTTTTAAATTGAACAAGGAAAAGGGAGAGTTTTGTAAGTAAAGCCAGTAATTCTAAGAATATTACAAAAACACTGTACTTTTAGCTGAAAGGTTTATTTGATGCTCAGGAAAGGTCGCAAGAAACTAATTTTTGCATTTAATTGCTAAACATTTTAAATTGTATAGGGGCAATCAAATGTTTAAATTGAATACAAATTCCGTTCTCATTGTGACGAAATGAAGAACACCGTATAGAGAACTCACCAGATACCAAATGATTGAAAAGCATAAATTATATTAAAGCCTTGATGTTACTTCTTGTTTATACATTAGGCTGTGTAAATGCAAAACGGAGTATGAGATATGCACAGCAAATCAGAATTTACTATTTTTGCTAAATTTTGACTCCAACACATCTGAGTTTGTGATGAATGTAAGTATTGAATATGAGTAAAATGTGAATCTTTAATTTTTTCCATCGTATTTATAATGTATCTGTAAAATACATTCATACATTTAAAAGAGTCATTTTATTTTTAAATATAAATACATACAGGAGTTATCATGCACAACATTAGGTGACATACTAATTTTTAACATGTGGATACAATGCAGTCATTGACTGATTGGCTAGTCTGGTTAAGGTTACATGTGTCACAAGCTTGAGGTGTCGATCGAACACTTCTCTACAGAAGGCCGTATATTAACAATGAACTGTCAATTCGAGTTTCCTGGTTGGTTGTTGCATAATCATGTACTTGGCATCTTCATTCAGATCGACAAATGGATATTGTTACCCTATTTTGTCGACATAATAAGCGGCAGAAGACACCATAGGAATATTCAACATGATGGGCCAGAAATAAACTGACAACACCTTGCAAAACAAACAATGATCAACAAGTCATAGCCCGCAAAACAATGCATAAAAAGTAAGACGATCCTTTACGAACATTGAGGTTGACCTCGGCTAGCTGAAGGGTCGGTTGATCCTCCTTTATATTTGAAAACCGCCGTATTGCTTAGACTAAGCACGAATGCGGTGAAAATTCTTATTTGATGGTGTCACAATAAAGGAAATGGTGGCAATATGTGGGTTAATCTATATGTCTACTTGTTCATTTATAATATGCTGTATGCAATAATTTAAGAGATACTACATACGTTGTTCCCCATGGCTAAATAAACACAAATTAAAAGAATAATGAATTGTTCTTAAATCGTACTATGTGGATACTATCGAAGTTTTGTGTCACAGTAGTTTGTTATTGTAGGCAAATCCAATATAATAACCTAGTCTGTTCAACCTTAATTCAGATAACAAACTTTGATGGGCAACATGTAATAGCAACTGTTGAGCTATTGACGAGACGTTATGATGAAATTGCTTTCACTCTTACTTGTAAGTATTTATCGGGAGGAAGGTTTGGCTAGCCATAAAAACAGGTTCAATCCATCATTTGTTCTTAAAATGTCCAGTACCAAGTCAGGATTATGGCAGTTGTTATCTATTGGTTCGCTTTTATGTATGTTGCATTGGCGTTTATTTTGTTGTATTTCAGTGTGTCTGTTGTTCCGTTGTTTTCCTATTATAGTTGATGACATGCTTTATCGTTACGCCGTATCTTTGTCTGAACTTACTGGCGTCATGTTTTTATGGTCTTAGATCTGTAAATACCATTATAATTGTAGTTGTTTAATCTGTAAATTCACCAACTAGGTTTTTCTCAATTGAAACCACCTGGCTGATATATGATAAAAAAGAAGATGTGATATGATTGACAATGAGACAACTCTCTACACGAGACCAAATGACACAAAAATCAACAGCTATATGTCATCGTACGGCCTTCAACAATGAGCAAAGCCCATACTGCATAGTCAGCTATAAATGGCCCCGAAATCACAAATGTAAAACAATTCAAAAGAGAAAACTAATTGCCTAATTAATGTACAACAAAAATGAACGAAAAGCAAATATGTAACACAGCAACAAACGACAACCACTGAATTACAGGCTCCTGGCTAGTGACAGGCACATACATAAAGAATGTAGCGGGGTTAAACATATTAGCGGGATTCCAACCCTCCCACTAACCTTGGTGTAACAGTACAACATAAGAACAAAGTATAAACAGCAGTTGAAAAAGGTTCAACTCATCAGATGGATACAAATAGAAATAGATTTAACAAAAACACAGAGTGGACGTTGCCGGGTACTTGTACATCTCAAAAACAAAAAAGACACTGAGTACAGATCTGAGAGTACTCGCAGTTACTGACAGCTAGTTCAAAGCTAATAACAACTTATACAAAATCATGCATCAAAGACTAAATTTCTATTCAATCACATCCAGCATCCAATTGATTAAGTGTAAAGACATCATAAACAGTCAGTGGAAAACATTATTAATTGGTAAACTTCTGTTTTTGACATTTAAAAATGTAACACTATCGTATTTTGACCTACAATGAGTTACACGCCGTCCGAAATTATAGGGTAATGCTGTTTGTCCCTCTAAACCACATGATTTTAACTCTAGATTTGATTTGAAAGTATGTATTTTCAGTATTGAGTGTGTTTTATTTTTACTGGTTTCAGTCTCGTCTATGGTTATGTATTGGAAATGTGTTCTGTTCCAAACTCACATTTTTTGGTAAAGATTACGGAAAACAATTTTACTAAGTCGATATAATAATGAATTTTAAGTGATGTCAGCGTTGGCAAAAGTTGTTATTCTATGGTACATACTAACCTCATATTACCCAATATAACACTATTACTACGATATCTGTCACTTGTAGAGAAGGAACTGTTTGTCTTATTAGAGTTTATAACATTACTTCTCATTTTCGGAAGGATTTAAGTTGCTCAGTCTAATTTTCTCACTTTAAATTTCTTAGATTTCTTTTGTATTTTATTCGTTTGCTTTTATTATATTTTCTTGGTTTCCTGTCGACTTATGGATTTTAATTGTTCCCTTGGTAATTATCACCTTTATCGTGTTTGTGATGCATCATATTTAGTAATGTGTATCGAACTGAATGATATTTTTGATCTTTTATTGTCCTCTTAAGTGTATTTTCTCCATCTTTTAATTTGCCTAAGGCCATGAGATTGATAAAAACTTCATCAATTGATATTGATTTAACCATTATTTAAATGAAAACTTGATCACGTGCAACTCCATAAGATGTGGAAAAAATGTTGCAAGTCGTATGCTTCAGTGAGACTAAATATGTCGGTTTAATTTGTGAAATGAGTTTGAATGTCCCCTGGTATCTTTTGCCCTTCTCTTTTAAAACAGGACCGAAAGATACCAGAGGGATATTCAAACTCATAGATCGAAAATAAACTGACAACCCCATGGTTAAAAAAGGGAATAGACAAGCAGACACATAATAGTATACAAGACACAACATAGAAATCTAAAGACTAAGCAACACGAACCCACCAATAACTGGGGGTGATCTCCGGTGCACTTGTTTTGCATGTATCGTCAAGTAATATGAGTTTCTGCCAAAGATGACTATTGAGATGTTTATTAGTAGTAGTAATTCCTATTTGGTGAGTGGAACACGAAGTGCAGGCGCTTTACAACAACACTTCGATGTACGAATAGTAAAGCATCAGCTACCAGCCTTAATCAATGTCCTTATCCTATATACGCCTTTTTCGCATGTAGCTGAATTTTCTGAAACTAATCCCGGTAGATGATGTTTTAAGCAGCTGTTAATATACTTGCCACTGTACGTTGAATCAACAACTATTGACACTCTTGCGACTGATGTGTTATTTTACTTGTTACTGCCATTACAAGATAGCCTTTATATATAATCACCCAAGTTCTTTCACTTTCCTGAAACTTTTGAATCATATGATGCATAACAAATAGAACACTTAATTGCAAACTGCAAATTGCATGATGTATGATAAAAACTGATAAATACTAAAATTAGTGCAATATTATACATTTATTTCCCTTGGCTAAGGAAGATTTCAAAGATTGTCCATCCAAGAAAATTCATATTTTACGATAATATTGACCAAGGGATATATGACTTTTCAAAGGTGATTAAATCTTTACCCTAAGCCATGGAAAATAATGTTTTATTTCATTGCCTATTTTGTTTTTACTTCTTGAACATTAAATGGTTATTTAAATATTCGTATACGTTTGCTTTCATAATTAAACATGCACTACTCTTGATAGCAGTACCGATGGAAGTTATTTTTTTATTCTTTTTCTGTTTTTTATATGAAATAATGTTGAACCCAAAAGTGAAATAAAAAAACCCATTCAAAACGTTATCAACTTTTACCGCATATATATAACGTTGCACAAGGAAGTTTCGGGGGTGACGGGGGGAATAAGAAGTTTTGTTTAACGTCGTGTGGGATAGTCTCAACAAATCAACTGTTGATTTCTTTATCAAAATTTACAAACAGTGCAATACTAGTATATTAATTCTATTTTTATTATATTGTAATCGCATTTTTCAACATTACCTTTAGTACAAACATATAATTTCAATTTAGGATGAGAACTCCTATCTGCATCGGAGAGTAGTTGACTACATTATGTTCCTTTTTAAGTGTTTATGAATAAAGCATACAGCAACATTCCGTTGGTGAATACCCGTCACACCATGCTAAATTCAACAGATTGAGTATTCGACTCTCCTTGCCTAACAAGATATGTTCATGTTAACAAATTCACTAAAAACATTTACCATACATCAAATAGATGTTTTTGATTTTCTATTTTAGACTTGGAGAAGATTGTAATTTTGCAGAAGACTCTTATTCTCTGTGCTGCTATATTGCACTGCGAGGAGGAATATAAAGATCAGAAAATGAAAAAAGAATTGTGTTGCCCACTATTCAAGGAAAGCAAGATTAAATTCGCCATAGTATGCATTTTATCTCCAATATTAATGGTGCTTTACTTTATAGGAATGCTTCTGTTTATAGTAGGTTTCATAATAGCGCCTGTGCATTGTATAGTTTTTCTTTATCATAACCGTGATAAACAACGTGAGCTTAGCAAACTGGTGTTTGTTTGGCCGTGTTTTGTGTGTGGTCTAGTTGATATCTAAAAGCTTTTTTGAGGAAATATTGTTAAAGATTTAGAAGATATACGTGTGTATCTATAAAAAAAAAACCTGTAAAGAATTGTTAACATGTTACAAATATAAGTTAAAATCTTTGTCATTTTGAATGCAGATGACACAATTATTGTGTCTAATAGAAAAAAAAGTACTACAACAAGCACTTGATGTTTTATAACAATATTGTAGCATATGTAAACTCTAAGTTAATATAGACAAAACACACATTTATGTGTTTAGCAAACAAAAGGTACGACAAAAATTTGGTTTCTTGGTTACAAGAATACTATGGAAGTTGGATAACTTTTAATTAGAACGGTAATTGTACTGCTTGAAAAGGTGTGTTTGACCAATCACGAAAAGCAAAGATTGTTCTATACTGCAACATTTATCATCACCTATAGATATTAAGTGTTTTAGCACACATTTTCAATGCTATATTCACACCTATATTATCATAGTATTCATCAGAGGTATGGAAGTTTAAAATTAAGCAGTATATTGAGAAAATGTATCTTTAGTTCTGTAGAATATCTACGTGGTCGAAAAAGAACACTATGTTTTATGGTTTACGGGGAATTAGGTCGGGTTCCTTTGGATATCTCTATAATACTTAGCATCATTCTGAACTATTAAAGCAGATTGCAAACTGTCAAATATCATTCTTATGAGTAAATTTCATGGAAATAATCCTACCAAGTTCAAGTTCAAGTGGATTCAATATGTGCAAAGTATTTTTTGATGCTACAGATCTTTAGCGTTTAAGGAACGATCAATTAATTATAAATACTGATTGGGTGAAGAGTATAGTCAAACAGCACTGTACATAGCAGTACTATGAGCCATGGTTTTCGCTTTTCGATATATGATTCATATATGGGGGATTTGATTAATTAATTGGTGTTTGCTTTTCTCTGCAGCACAAACAGTCTCACCCATGGAGGTGGGTAATCTTTATTTTGTAACCATGCTTATTTTGACTGTAACCTAGCGACATATATGATATTTCTAAACGATGTTCGAACTTGGTTTCCTATTGAGAAGGAAAGATGGGCAAAGATTCTGCGAGAATATGTTACTTGCTGAATTTTTGTATTGAATAACGTTAACGGACCATTTCAGGATGATTTGCTTGCATATATAATCAATGTGATCTATATTTTCCAAATAAATAAAATATGTTATAAAATGTACTAGAATTTTCATTTTTTTTTTCTTTTCGTTTTCGTTTTTTAAGAAGTTGATAACATGTGTTTTTCTAAATCGAAAGAGATATGATGAGTTTGATAT